TGGATATACGAGGTATACGTACCGGAAGTGTATCCAACTGTATTGCGAAATACTGGCGCCGGCACGTCGTCGTCGTTTAGTAGATTAGGATCTATGGTCTCACCATTTATTAAAAATTTGGTCAGTTCTTAGCTTTTACTCAATTTTTATTTTTAATAAATTTATTTGTATTGATGTTTAGACTGCGGTCACTAGTCTTTCGTTTGTGATGGTTATGTATGCAGTCATTTCAATATTAATCGCAATTTTAGCCCTGTTTTTACCCGAAACGAGAGGAACTGAAATTCCTGATACTTTAGACGAAGTGGAGGCACCGAAACATACAGTTAATTAAATTTATTTGTACACATTTTAATAGATATTAATTTTGACGATTTTTTAACAAATATGTTGTAAATTAATGTTTAGCACAAAATCCCGATAAAAGGGTGTAATAAAACAATTTTGTTTAATTGCTAAAGATTCTTGTCTTATTGATTAATAATTAATCAATCTAATTATTAGAGTAAGTAAATAGTAAACAATAGGTTATGGCAACTTAAACATCAGAATGTTTAAAAGACAATGTAAAATCATAGTCTGTTATTACCGTAATTACATAACATTGTTGTCGTCCCATGGGCTCTAAGGGCTGGGCATAGGGTTGGAGTACTTGTCGTATGTGTTTTTAATATCCCGAGACAGACAACAGGCAGATATTATGATCAATAACTCAATCAAAGCCACACCAATCGCTATATAGCCTAAACTTCCCAAATATATCTTTATGTAATCGATGAGCGCTTTAGTGCATCCCTTGTCCTGAAATTTAATTGAAATAATTATGTGTAAAAGATTTCATTTTAGGATTAGTTATTGAATTAATGATAAATATTTTTAATATTGAGATGTAGAGTATACCCATGTATTCCCTTTCAAACATCGGGTGTCGATAATATCGTCCGCATTCTTACAACAAGACGCCGGATAAAAACCTATGATCAATTTATGTTAGATCTAATAGTAATAGCCAAGGTTATTTAGTACAAACCCGGGTGTTCAGTGATTTTGTCCCAATCGGTAACGTTTTTAGCGCCACAACATTGCAACTGCTTCTGGAACTCATTGATGGCCCGATTTGCCGGATCGTTGTCCGGCAGTTCCCATTTGTATGCCTCCAAAGCCGCGTATATACCATCGTTTGCGTGCTTTTCCACATCATAATTGTATTGTATGACCAGATATGCGGCCACGCCTTGCGCTGCCAGACATAATAGTATAAGAGCGCCGTACTATTGGTCGGTAGAAATATTTCGGGCAACAATTTGGGGGTAACATGTAAAATGAAAAATTATAATCACATGAGATATCAATTAAAAATATAAATGTATTTTACAAACCGTGTTAAGCATACAATAGCTCTCTCGGAGTGCACCACAACAGCCCAAAAAGGCAATGATTACAATGAGTCCGCCCGTCGCTAACAACACAATCGCCGAATAGGTTGGCGTGTGTTTCACGATATCGTTCACATCCGCAGTGTATTTGAGGAGAACCCGAATACCCAGGTATATAAGAGCCACTCCGCAAACCACCCAAATCAAGTTAAACACAAATAAAATAATCTTAATCACAGAACCGCCACAACTCTCAGCCATTTCTTGTCTAAAATTTACAATTAGTTGAGATTAATTTATTAAAAAACAATTATTATTAACTCAATTAGTGTATATTCTCATAAATATATTGTAATTCACCTACTGTATTTGTTTGACAGTTTTAAATATATATACGTATGTAAACCATAAATATTATAACTTACTTCAAATGAAATTCTATGTGGGTAACAATTTGAATCTTATTTAAATAATTAATTACCGTACATTCAAAATGCAAAAAGTTATAAATTTACATGTAAGGATTATTTTTATGAGAGACCTTCGATTTAATTGACTGGCTTAAAACCTTGGTTTACAGTTAAAATACTGTTTATTTAATTTTATTATACAAAAAGTTAGTGATAAATGTAAACAGTATATATTCTTTATTTCTTGAGATTCAGTGAATGGATTGAATGTAAATAAAAGTGATAATAAAATACATTTGATATCAAGATAATAATATCTTTAGCTAAGTATTATCAGCTTTACCTCTACAACAAACCTATTAATACAGTGTATACAAAGTGGAGTACACCGAACCATATTCTGTACGGATAGTAATCTTAATTTATTTAAATTAAATCGTTTCGAAAAACTTTGAAATCTAAGCGAAAACGTTGTCAAACGAAGAATAAACATTACCCTTATATACTCGTAACAGTACTGTATGTCTGTTTTATGCTGAAATTGTTATCAACTTATAATTGTTGTGCATTTTATTATATACTTAATTGATATGTTTTATATACATTTTATATAAAAATATAATATCTATCAAATCAATTTCAGTGTTTAAAGAAATGAATAAACACAATACATATGCTTTTCTCATCATTTATTACATAATATTGTGGTAAAAACATAGCAGTAATGAGAATACAATTTTGGACAACAGGATTGCTTTATCGCAAACAAATATTTACTACATTTGGTATATCCGTATAATTAACGTTCAATTTCACTATATAAGTGTATATATGACTATTAATTAATTTATTATTAATGCCAATTCATTCTATAAATGTACATGCCCAATCTATTGCAGTGCAAGTGATGTACAGTGTAGTTATACTGTATAACTTATACAGAATATAATATTATTTTAGTATATCAGTATACTGTATAATTGACAATTATTAATTGTATTATAAATTAACAATTTTACTGTTTATTAAATAATATTAAAAATATATTTAAGTGAATCAATTTTTATAATAATGTTTTCTAAAATATTTACACCATTTGTCGATAACATATATCTCGGAAGCGATTCATTGATATCACGTTTTACTTTCTTATGGATTCTTCAATTGTTTCAAAAGGGAAACGTTTCTGCACTCAATCCAAACGACTGTCAATCAAACGATTACTTGAAATGCGAGACAATTGAGAAAGAATTTACGCCAACAAAGTTGAATAAATTGCAAATTGTAGTCTCGTTATGGAAATTAATACAATTTCCATTAATCATTTCGTTTATATTGGATTTAATAGTCTTATCGCTGGAACTGTTGACACCTTTTGTCTTCAGTAAAATTTTGGATTTCTTGGGAAGTAATGAAGACTTTTATATTGGATTCGTTTATGCCTTAATGTACTGCTTATGCGAGAGTTTGGGCACAATATTGACCGAAAACCAGACTTATTATGATATGATAGTGAGAATGAGAACTCGTGTGTCTCTCCAACAACTGGTATACAAGAAATATCTTAAACTAAATTTAAAGTCTAGAAACGACAACAACGCGGGAAAATTGCACTCATATTTAAACCGAGATGCGTCCAGAATTTCATTCCTGTCCGCGCGTCTCACAAAACTAGTTATATATCCCTTTCAAATCGTAAGCGGATTATACTTCTTATGGGAATATATGGGTTATATATCGTTGACCACAATTATTGCGCCCATAGTGTTTGGTCTGGGTATTTATTTTTTACAGAACAAAATCATGTCGATCAATGAAAACCACAGTAAAATATTTGAGTTAGGCTATAAAACTTTAAATGAAATGTTTTCAAATATTAAATCCATTAAACTATTTGTTTGGGAGAAAGTGTTTGTCAGTAAAGTCAATGAAATCAAGAATAAAGAGATACAACTGTCGAGACAATTGGTTTACTGGAATTCAGGTAAATATTTTGCTTTCTTAATACTGTATTTATATTTTATAACAATTATAGTTATTATTGAAATATTTATGATTATTATTTGTAGTGATAATAATATTTTCCAGTTATGTTTATTATAGGTTTATAAAAATTTATAAAACAATACATTATAGAGTGATAATGAAATGGTGATTAAATGTTTGCCCATTCCATAGATTAGTATTTATAAATAGATTGTTTAAATTACAATTGTATCATGGTTTATTATTGACTCTGTAATTACGGTAATAAAGCAGGATTTTCACAATCGTATGCACTCATGTTTTTTATAGCATCACTCAAATATTTACATACAGTTTTATTTAATTGGAAAATATTAATTATAAAACTAATATTTATCATAATCATATTTGATTTGTATTACTCAATGAACTTGATAAAATATCCTATTATTATAATATTACTACAGAATAATCTACTATGATTCTATATTGGCATTTATCCCGGATTAATAATAGTTATTTTGTTAAATATTATTTTTACATTGATTATTTAATTTAACAAAAATGGTAATAAACTCCAGATAGTGCATATAAATTTTTATTTAAATTAAATGAAGTTTTAATAATTTAAATTTTCTTTTACAGCTCAAGAATTCATATGGAAATTATCGTCAATAATATCAATAGCAATGTGTTTAACGCTTTACATAATATTAAATGGATTTGAATTGATTGACACAAAGATTATATTTTTGTGCATTTCATTTATTTACACGATTGAGAACGGATTGGTTTGTTTGCCCAGTATTTGGAGTTCACTCATCGATAGCAAGATTTCTCTCAATAAAATTGTTAATTATTTAAATAACGACGAAATGAATGATAAGCATTTGGGTACTAATAATAATAATGATAATAATAATTGCAAGACATCAATACTATTGGATAATATCACGTTCAGTTGGGATAACGACAATTCTACATCAGTTCTTAAGCAATTAGATCTAGAAATTCCGTCCAAATCGTTGGTCGCCGTAATCGGTGACATCGGTTCCGGCAAATCATCACTTCTTTCGGCAATAATTGGAGAGTTATTTACAATTGAGGGCAATATAGAAGTGAACGGTTCTGTGGCTTATGTGCCGCAAATAACTTGGATTCAAAGCAAATCTGTGAGAAATAACATTATATTTCAATCAAAATATGAGAAGGAGTGGTACGAAAAAGTGGTCAAATCCTGTGCTTTAGATTTTGATTTCAATAATTTTGTAAACGGAGACAAAACACTTGTCGGTGAAAATGGCGTGGATTTGAGTGGAGGACAGAAACAAAGATTATGTCTATCGCGAGCTGTCTATCAAAACAGCGATATATACCTTCTCGACGATCCTCTCAATTGTGTGGACACACAAACAGCTACTCATATATTCAATGAATTGATTTCCGATAAAGGATTGCTTAAAGACAAGACCAGAATATTGGTCACAAACGATCACTCATTCCTTAAATTTTGTCACTTAATTGTAATCTTAAAAGAGGGCAAAATTGATAGATTTGGGACTTTCGATGAGCTTAAAAATAATATCGTTTGTTTTAATCGCAAAGAAGGCAACAATAATAACGAAGAAATAGTTAACTTACAAAACACTAACGATTCTAAGGATTCGTCCGATGAGATGACAAATGATATTGAATTCAAAGACATTTATGAGTTTCTAAAAAGAACTGGATTTAAATTATTCTTCGTTCTGACAATCATTTATATATTTTCAAATTTGTCTCAAATCTCATCCAAATATTGGATAACCGGTTGGACGGACACAGGTTTCACTTATTCGGCACAGTTTTGTTTAATAATTTATTTATTGCTAATTTCGGCAAATAGTTTTTTAATAGTAATTTCCAACATAAGTGTATTTCATTATTCAGTTGAACAGTCGCTCAAGTATTTTAATGACATTTTGAACAATTTAATACACTTTGAATACCAGTACTTCGCGACCACTCCGGTCAGCAATTATGTCAATGTAATTACCGGTGATTTATATAACGTTCACACGTCTATACCATTCAATTTAATGCAATTCATGGAAAACACTTTTTGGGTTTTTGTCATCGTTTATCTAATCAATCAGATATTTTCTAAGTTAACCATTATATTAGTGCTGCTATTATTGGTTATATTTAAAGTCAATGTAAGTCCATTTATTAACAAATTTTTGTTGATTATTTTATTAACTAATTATTTATTAACTCTAATTAATCCATTTTTGAAATAGCAATTCTATACGAGGACATCAAAGCAACTTCAAAAACTTCATTTCAAGGGTTATTCAGTGGTTGGCAGTCATGTAAATGAAACAATGGCCGGAATCACATCTATTCGCACGTTTGGGGCACAGAATTCATTCATCAATGAGTTTTACAATAGACTGGATTCGCAAATCAATGTTGAATATTGTTTACTCAGTTCGAGTCGATGTCTCAAAGTTTTGATTACTATTTTGAATTCAATGGTCATATTCTTGGCGTCGCTTATAATCCTTATAAAT